AAGGATAACATTTTAGGAGAAAAAACCCTTTTTTGGGTTATGAGTTAAAATTAGGTTTTTTGTTATTTTGGGGTATTTATAGAGGGGGCTTGGGCGTAAATAAAAAATACTTTAATTATTTCCGCAGTCCCCCTTAGTTTGAAGTGTAATTCATTTTGGTCACCTATTACAAATTTACCTTTTAATTTCAAATTTGTTCAATTTAATCCCCGTTTTGATTTCTCATATTTTACAATTTGACCCTTCCTAACTTTGATTCCTTCTTGCAGCTCTCGAATAATGCCAATTTGACCCCTAATTTTGAAATTTTGCAGTTAAATCCTTTTAATTTTAAATCGTTTTCTTATTATCATTTAATTTAGTTTTGTTTTAATATTTAATATGGATTTGATTTTTTTTGTTTTTCTCTTAGGTCAATTTTAATCGATCAAGGGTAAGTAATTTGGATCGAATCTTTAAATTTTGTCTTAACTTTTACTTTTCGCAATTAAGACAACCCTGAAATTAAATTGGTACCAAAAGATAGTACAAGGGTGCTAATCCTTCCTTACTGTAATCGACTCCCGAATCCAACTATTTATGGTAAAATGCAGATTAGGTAAGATGATAAATTAGGGTGTCCGATCAACCCAATTTTTTTAAAAAAAAATAAATGATCGGTGACGGTACTAACATGTTTTATTTAAGTCGAAGTATGATTTCAGATCTACCCGAAGGACGATTACGACATATAGGAAATGAAATTCTGGACTATGTTAAAAGAAGACAAGTCGAAGGGTAGTGTTTAAAGTGGTTTTCTAAAGTGCGTATGATACGGTGAATTGGGATTTCCTATATTTGATGCTTGTTAAATTAGGTTTTGGAGAAAATGGATATATTTGTGTATCTCGTCTGCATCTATCTCCGTTCTCATTAATGGGTCTCCAATAGATAGATTCAACATTCAAAGAGGTTTGAGGAAGGGGTGTCCCCTCTCGCCACTTTTGTTTAACATTGTGGCTGAAGGTTTAAGTGCAGTGTTAACTAAAGCGTCTAGAACTGGTTTCTTCATAGGTTTTAAAATCGGCTCTGATAACCTCGAAGTGTCTCATCCTCAATTCGTTGATGATCTAATTATTTTCTATGGAGGCATTCTGTCACAAATCACCAACATCAAAAGACTATTATGTTGTTTCGAGCTTACCTCTGGGCTGAAGGTGAATATGAAAAAATCAGCCCTTACCGTTCAAAACTGGGCAAGCATCTTGAAATGTTCAGGTGGTAAATTCCCGACCACATATTTGGGCCTACCTTTAGGCTGCACATATTTGGGCCTACCTTTAGGCTGCACAAAGAACTCTTCATCCCTGTGGAAGTCGATTCTAGACAAGTTTAAAAAGAAGCTGGCTCCCTGGAAATCTAAACTTGTGTCCTTTGGAGGAAGAATCATCATGGCAAAGTATGTATTAGTCAATCTCCCGATGTTCTTTCTCTCTCTTTTTCGTATCCCTGCCTCAATATCCATAGATTTTAACAGGATGACATGTAATTTTATTTGGGGTGTGGTAGATAGTAAGAAAATCGATTGGATCCGGTGGGAGACGCTTTGCCTCCCCAAATAGTTTGGAGGGTTGGGTTTGATAAACTTTAAAGTTAAAAATGTTGCCATGTTATACAAATGGCTTTAGAGATACGGTAATGAAAAAATAAAACTGGGGATGAAGGTTATCAATGCTGAATACGATCAAGGTTGTGTTAACATTTTCCCAATTAACGTTTCTAGACAGAACAAAAGTCGAGTATGGTGGGACATTCTTAAACCCTTGGAACTAAGGGTGTAAAAAGCTGACATGACCTGTAAAACTTATTGAAATCGACTCAAGCTAAAATTGTTTTTGACCTATGCTGTGGCGATCCGAAACCGATTCGAGTCGGAACTGGTGTTGACCTGCACCCGAATTGGACCTGGAAATTATGTATCTGAATTCGACCTGCATCCGACCTGAGAATGACCTGAACCCGAATTGAACTGAAAATATGATACTCGAACCTGAACTGCATCTGACTGATATGAACCCGAACCCGAGATTAACCTGGTAAATAACTGGTATTACCTGATCTGTTTTCAACCTGACCTGTAATTGACTCAACCTATAAATGATCCGACATGCTAAAATGATATGATATTACCCTGACTTATAAGTGAAATTACAATTAATATAATTATGTTATTTTAAATTTATAATAAACTTATGATAATTAAATTAATATGATTACTTTTTGAAATTTAGTTTTTATATTAATTATAATTTATATATATTATAAATTTGGTTTTTATATTAATTCCAATTCTTTATATTATTTATATTTATTATATTATAAATATTATTTACTATCACTAAATTAAATTTAAATATTATCTTATTGAACTTGATTTTATTAAATTATATTAATTAAGTTAAAATTTTCATAAATCTAATTTACTTTTAATGTGAAAATTGATTAATAATTTAAGTATAACTTAACTTGAAATTTTAAAATAAAAAGATATTAGTTGAAATGATGAACTTATTAAATATTTGAAACTTGAATAACATTACAAATACTAAAACAAAAAATTTATAAATGAAATTAATTTTATTATACTTGAAAACACTAAAATTACAATAAAATCAACTAAACAAAATAAATTTACGTTGAAATAAATACTCTCAAATCTTATAGCTACTGTTTTACAAGACTAAAAGCCTAACTATACTACTAGAAATATCATCATCAAGCCTTTATACCAAAATGTTGCCAACAAGTTTAATTATAGACAACTTTTTAGCTTTAAAATTCAAAATGCCACCAACATAATTCCACATGAGTAACTATTTAGATAAGAATTTATAAGGTTCAAAAATTGATTTAAGTCACACCAACAACAATAATTTACAAGGCATCAATGAGTAGGTAACAGCAATCGACAAGCATCAATGTACCAATTCATCAAGCATTATTGCATCAATTCAGCAAGCATATTGCATTAAGAAAACATACAGCATTAAGAAAACATACAATCAATGGTAAAGCCAAAGGGAATTCGATGGCCAACAGTGCCAAACATTTCCGACTTTACCAAACCCTTACAAATATCAAGTAGAAGCAAACAAAATATCAAACATAAGCAAACAATATAAAATAAAATAATGCAGAATCAAGCACCAAATATTGCTTCTTGTAAGGCAACCTACAAAAAAATATTAATGAACTATTTTAAACTTTTATTAAATAAACATAATAAATATAAAATATTAAGTTACCATTAAAGGGAATAAATAAGACATAATCTCCAATTCCAATAGTTTCAGGGACCAATAAACACCCTAAAAATTTAAAAGAAAAATTAAATATTCTCTTTTCAAATAATAATGAAAAAATGATGGAAAAGGTGTGTTATCATTAAACAGTTATATGTAGGCAATAGCACATTTTATTTTCTTCTAATGCTTTATGCTATGAACAATTAAAATGTTACTTTTGTGCAATTGAGTTGAAGAATATGAAATGATTTTAACTTACACTACCCCACAATGCACATCACCATGGTTGCAATGACCCGAAACACCATAGCTATCAAATGTAATAATCTGAAAAATAATAGAAGCACGTATAAGAGAAATAAGAAATGAAAGATATTAACAAACAAGCAGTAACAGAAAACTTTCAGCAACTATTGAGCAATATAAAGCTGATTGTGCATCATTTTGGCAGGTTAAACACTTAACTTGATTTGATTTCTAGCTAACAAAAGCTTAAGCCTTCATATTTTCTTTCACTCTTTTTGCATTTTCCAGCATACTTTAGTTCTTCACGTAACTGAAACTTACCTCATCATGTACCGTCATTTTTTAAAATTAATACAAGGCAAAAATAAAACCATTTGAGTTAAGAGGATGTTTACTACATTCTGTTTCAGTATTTGAGCCCTAAACGTGTCTTTACAAAGTGACAATTCTTTAAGAACAAGTATAGACAATGATCTTTTCAGAGAAAAAAAAAGTATAGACAATGAACCTTGGTGCCACTCAACAAATAATATGTTGATACTTAATAATCTAATGTGTAATTATAATTTTTTAATTAAATTAAAATTTCGCATTGTTGAGATTTTATTGAAACTTAATTTACAGTTTTCCTTATATAAGTAATGCTAGTAAATTGTTCCTTTTTCATCTTGTCTATTAAAGAAACAAAAATATAGAAGAATTCATAAAAATTACTTAAATAAGCTGCTTTGATTCATAGATGTTTATCTCCATTTGTAACAAAAATATAAAAAGGGCTCTAATTCAAGGCCTAGCCAAACATATTAAAAATATCCAGAAGAGGTGGAGAAACCATCGCTAAACGCTCGGATCATTCAAGTTGTTAGATACATTTATAAAAAATGTTCCTTCTGCTGATTGCTGCTAATTCCAAAATTAGTTTCAACCCCAATGCACCTAGTTTTGAGAGAAGTTGATTGTCTGAGCAGCTTCTATTTGTTTATTGCTCATATCAAACAAAGACATAATGACAATTGCTCATACCAAACAGGGAAATAATGACAATTTTTCGAACACCCATACCATATTAGCATGGTAAGCAAAATGCTTGAGGGTACAACAAAAGAACTCCAGATTCAGGTTACATCAATTTTTGTTTCTCTCTTAATTCTAGACGCAACATTAATGTTTTCGGAATGCGGATAAAAGGAATAAAAGAAAAAATAACAAGTTTTAAATGTGAAATTATGAGACAAAAAGCTTTATGAAGATTGAAGCCAAAACGATAAATTTTAACTAACCAATGGATGAAACGTTGTCCTCAAGATAATGACTCATCTGGGAGGCCTCAGCACAGCAGATGTAGAATACAAGGGGCACATAAGAGAACCTGAACATATACAAGGGGCGAGAGGATTTAGTTGTTCGGTACAAAATCACTGAATTCATTGAAATAAAGGAATCGTTAAATTGACAGTATCTTAAGGTTGCATTTCCAGTTCCAAAGAAAGAAGGTCCCCATCTTCCAGAGAGGTCTATTTATTAGGAAATTGATGAACTTTCTTGTTAGAAGTGAGATTCTTGTTAATGAATGTCCCGTACTTGGACAAATCTTTGATTGTAACTTGATATGATTGAGTCATTCCATCGACCATTATGTGAGCATGGATTCTGGACATGCCCTTGTCTTTGTGAATGATGACATCACACCCTTCAACAAATCAAAACACAAAGGAAAGGAGAGCAAACCCCAATATAGAAAAATAAAAACAAAAATTAGAATCTAACAATTTCCTCACAGAAAGAAAAGAAAAGAAAGTGAAAGAGAGCAAATTCGATAACCTTTTCGACCCACAGTATACGTTCCGTTCTTGAAAATATAGTACTTATCTTCTTCTCCTATTTCTTCAGCTGCCCAAATGGAATAGGGTTTTAGTCTTGAAAATAATGCAACGTAAAAATGAAGCAATAGTAGCACTTCAATTAAGCTTTACTTGCCTGAAGAAGGATCGACGGGAAGCAAAGCCCAAACCATTGTTTACTACCTATTCGATTATATTAAATTTAAATTCAAACCAATTATTTCTGCAAAAACAGAGAAGGGTAATCGTTGTCTTCAAATCTAGCTATACCTATCCAAATACAAACCGCCACGCGCTGACGGACCGGGATCGCATCTCGAAGCATCGTGTTCTTCTTCATCACCGCCGGTTCGAGCTCCTCGCAGATCATGTTGAATGTAGCTTTTCTCATACAAACTGCAAACGCCTCGCATGTATCTACCCGTTCGACCGAGGGAAACAAAGGCTCAGGTGAGGAAAATCATCTGGAGAAGGAATCCATCGGTCCCAGAGATTCTGATGACAATAGTTCAGAGGACAACCATAAAGAAGCCATGGTTATGTTAAAATCATCAGGCGGGAAATGATGCTGATTGTGGCGCCACAGTTGGGGTAGCCTTGTGGCTTAAGCGAGGAAAAAACCCGCGTGTTTTTTAACTTCATTTGACATTGTATTGTTGTCTCTTAATTTTAAATTTATTCAATTTAGTCCACATTTAATGATTTAATATATTAATTTAAGCTTCATATTTCAATTTTTTTCAATTTAATCCAAATTTAATGTTATAAGTTATTAATTTAAGCTTCATATTTAAAATTTGTTCAATTTGATCCTTATATATTTTTTAATTCTTTCAATTAATATATATGTTTATATTAATAAATTAATATATAGTTTATATATACTGTATAGTTTATATATACTAATGAATTTTATAATATATAGTTTGTATATACCATATACTATATAGGTTATATATACTAATGAACTATATAATATATAGTTTATATATACTACTATATATTATATAGTTTATATATACTAATGAACTATATAATATATAGTTTATATATACTATATAGTTTATATATAATGTATAGTTTATATATACCATATAGTCTATATATATTATATAGTTTATATATACTAATAAACTATATAATGTATAGTTTAGAGTTTAGGGTTTAGGGTTTTTATATATAGTTCATATGTAAATTATACTATATAGTATATATAGTTTATATATATATAATATAAAGTATATAAATATAAACTATAGTATATATATATAGGTCATATGTAAATTATATAGTATATAAATATCAACTATAATATATATATATATATATATATATATATATATATATATATATATATATATATATATATATATAGGTCATATGTAAACTATATAGTTTATATATATAGTTCATATGTAAACTATAGTTCATATGTAAATATTAATGATAGTTTATATGTAAACTATAGTTCATATATAAATATCAACCTTAGTATATATATATTTATATATATAGTTCATATGTAAACTATAGTTCATATATATAGTATATAAATATAAACTATAGTTTATATAAATAGTATAAAATATAGTATATAGTATATAAATATAAATTATAGTATGTAGTTTATATAAATCTAAACCCTAAACCACACACATATATATATAAACTATATAATTTATATTAATAAACTATATAATTTATACAATATATATTATTTATAATTATACATAATATATAAATATAAATTGTATAGTTTATATATAATTCATATATAATTTATATATAAACTATTTAGTTTCTATATAGTTCAATAGTTCATATATAAACTATATAGTATTATAGTTTATACATGGTATATATAGTTTATGCTTTATACATAATATATATATATAATACATATACTTTATATATAAACTATATAGTTTATATTATATATATATATTAATTAGTTGTTTTAATTTTTTTCTCAACTTATTACTTATTTATATTTATTAATTGGCCCATAACTTTTTAAATGAGTATAATTTAGTACATTTTTGTATTAATTTCAACCTCAAAATTTAAAATTATTTCGATTTGATCCCTTTTGTGTTGTTTAATATATTTAAATTTTTATTTGTAATTTCATATTTGTTAAATTTAGTCCTCCAAATTTTATTTGCACCTGAAATTGACCCATACTTATTACTTATTTATATTTTTAAATTGGTCCATAACTTTTTAAATGGGTATAATTCAGTACTTTTTTGTATTAATTTCAACCTCAAAAATTTAAATTATTTTGATTTGATCCCTTTTGTGTTGTTTAATATATTTAAATTTTTATTTGTAATTTCATATTTGTTCAATTTAGTCCTCCAAAAAAATTTTGCATTTGAAATTGACCTATACTTATTACTTATTTCTATTTTTAAATTGACCCATAACTTTTTAAATGGGTATAATTTAGTATTTTTTGTATTAGTTTCAACATCACAATTTAATATTATTTCGATTTGATCCCTCATCAATGTGTGTTGTTTAATTTATTTAAATTTGTATTTGTAATTTCATATTTGTTCAATTTAGTCCTCCAAATTTTATTTGCATATGAAATTGATCCATACTTATTACTTAATTCTATTTTTTTAATTGGCCCATAACTTTTAAATGGGTATAATTTAGTACTTTTTTTGTATTAATTTCAACCTCATTATTTAAAATTATTTCGATTTGATCCCTCATCAATGTGTGTTGTTTAATTTATTTAAATTTTTATTTGTAATTTCATATTTGTTCAATTTAATTCTTAAATTTGTATTTTTCATAAAATTGAACCATGATTATTTATATTCTTAGTAATTTACTCTAAATCATATACAATTACAAATTGCAATTCAACGTTCACGAAAGACGAAAATAATTAATCCAAAAATAAAAAATAACTCGATTTGAACTCAATCCGTATCTGATAGAGATTCGACCTGAATTTTATCTGCCAATGATGTTACCCGGTCTGAACGAGATCCGCCTGAAGTCCATCCGAACCCGAATTAACCTGCTTTTTAACTGTTTCGGACCTGAACTGTTTTGACTTGACCTGGCAACGATCCGAACTGAAAATAACCTGACCTGAACCTGATCTGGATCTGGTGTCAAATCAACCTGAAAATAACCCGAACTGATTTGACCTGACCTGAACCCGATCTAGATCTGGTGTCAAATTTACCTAACTTGACATGTATCTGATTTTACCCGACTTGCCAGGATCCGACTGAAACCTGAACGATTACCCGATTTTACAACCCTACTTGGAACCTACTCACATCGTTAGTGATCCTTTTTTTTCTAATATAATTTTTCGCGTCGACGATGGGCAAATGTAGGATTTTTTTACATATAATTAGGTGGATGGTTCGTGTCTCAAAGCCCTTTCCCCCCGTGTCTTTGCTTTGGCAGTAAAGAAGACTGGTAAGATAGCAGAATTTGGTTCTTGGACAAACAATAATTGGGTATGGGACATTGCCCTGTGAAGGCCCTTATTCGACTGAGAGCACGATATATGGAATCTATTTAATGACGTTCTTGAAAACTCCAGGTTTGGCACTCTTCCTTTAGATTGTATTAGATGGGCTAACTCCTCTTCTGGCATGTATACTACGAAAGAGTTCTTGGCCTTAGTTGTGTGCAGGATAGAGAGAAGGATAAGCGTTGGATGTCAATTTGGTGTGATCTTGTCCCATTCAATATTGAATGTTTTGTGTGGAAACTTATCCATGAACGTGTTCCAACTAAAAGTGAACCCGCAAAAAGGGGTATTGGGATTGGAAGAGCTTCTGAGTGTATCTTCTGTTCTAACAACGAGGAGGCCGTTTACCATTTATTTTTCTCGTCTTTTTGTTTGAAAATTGTGGTGCAGGTGGCTAGACTTTTGGAATATCAAATGTGCTTTCCCTAAAAGCGTGAAAGGTTCGTTATGGATCGGTTGTTGCCCCTCCTCTAAGATGAAACCCTTTTGGATCATGGCGTTTTGTGCAATAGTTTGGGCTGTGTGGCTTAGCCAGAATGAAGTTATCTTTAGAGGGAAGTCCTTTCATGAAGATGTGATCTTTGACATTATTCTGCTTAGGATTGGCTAGTGGTACTGAGCAAAGTGGCATGGTTCCAATGTTTCAATAACCGATTTTATCTAATCCTGCTGCGTTGTCAATGCCTTCGACGATAAAAACGTTGGGCAAGTCTTCGGATTGGCTGGCCCCTTCTCCAGGTCGATTGAAATTCAGTACAAATGGTGCAGTCCACGGATCCTTCGGTCAAGCTGGGATTGGTGGTGTATTAAGGGATCACTTGGGCTCTATAGTTGTCGAGTTTTCAAAGTCTATTGGCCCCTCTGACCCAGCTAAGGCTGAGCTGCTAGCTGTTAAGGAAGCTCTCAAGATTTATTCTAGTTTAAATGGACAAAGCTGCCTCATCTTGAGGTGGAATCTGACTTTAACAACGTGTTATATTGGATCCGGAAGCCAAATAGCACTCTTGTTGTGTTTAAAGATCTTGTAGCTTCCTGCATACTTGAAGGCAGTAAGTTCAGTTGGAGTATAAACCTTATTGATATACAGAATTGTGGTGTAGATATTCTCGCAAAAGCTGACATCAATCGTTGTATGGACCTGCTTAAGTTTGGCCCTAAAGCTGCTCCTTAACAAGTTTTTGTTGGTTTCGTAGAAATCTAGGCCCCTGGATTCATGGGTCTAAACTAAATGGGTTAATTAGTTTGTAATTGTGTCTCTAGTTGGTCATTCGTCTGTAGATGCCTTTGTGATGTTGCTTGTATTGGCGTCGGGGTCTATCCTCCCCCTTGATGTTTTTTTTAATCGGTTTGTCGCTAAATCTTGTGGTCTTGATGGATATCCTTGTCAAGTATATTTGTTCTTCTGAGGGGTTGGTCTTCGTGCTTTGCGTATGGGATGCTTGGAATGTTAGTATTCGGAGGGAGTTTGGCTGCTGTGTTTTTCTGTCGTTGGTTGGGGGTTTTGCTTATGGTGTTGTAATTATAAGCAGTTTTCCATTTTGGACGAATTCTACTCATATAGCATTGACATGAACACTCTTTTTCCTCCACTTAAGCTTAAAGAGATTTTTTAATATTATTGTTCCCCTCTCTTGTATGATTCCGTCATAATCAATCATATATTTACCTTTTAAAAAAACATGATATTGCATTATTAAATCAAATCCA